GGTCTGATCAAAAAAAAAAGCAAAAAAAGAATGTTTAAACTTATAGTTTTTGAGTAGTACTTTCTATCGATGTTGTTTGCCTGTCTTCAAATTTAACATGGTTCATAGATGATACGTAAAATAGAAATGTACGATGCTGTTAAGTTTTGATAAATTATTTTCAGACCCAAAAAAAAATGAAGGACATTTTAGCTTATGTATTCTATGTAGTCGAATAATAGCTGCCTTCTCTTGGAATTCAATACTTCCATAATTTAAAATGTTATTTTACTTGTTCATAAAGATAGTTTCGAAAATCATTTTTCGATGTCGATGCAGAAGAAGTCATTAATACGGAGATTACACTAAGAATAAGTGAAAACGAATACTCTATCTAGTAAAAAAAAAGAAACGGGTGTGTGCTATGTTTTCTTAATACAAACGAAAAATAATGCTGTAGTTTTGTGCCTCAATAAAAAACGAATCCTACATAAGTTTAATTTTGCTTGTGACATATCTATTATATTGACGTTGCTTCTAGAAAGCGGTATACTTCATGAACAATATGTAGGATACAGGCGACGGACAACACTCCACGTACATTTACCAATTAAGATGAAATACCCTCCTCAACGCTTTTAATCTATTTCAATCTTCATTAAGTCGGCTGACTGCACGAAGTGCAGGCAAAGCCGACTCATTGCTTTTCACTCGATTGGTTGCCATAGCAAATTCTTCTTCTTCTCGATGCATGAGTCACGCTCCAAGTCAGCCACTCGTTCTCAGCTCCCAAGCATCATTTTGAGTCGAAAAAAGCTTAGCGAGGTCCTGGGAACGTGCCGAGTGCATATCTGAAATCCGTTTTTCGAAACTCGACGGCGTTCTGGAGATATAAAAAAATGTCAAAAATAATAATTAACAGCCGATAGTTTCCGTATATGATTATACCAGTGGCGTAGCCAGGATTTTGGGCTAGGGGGGGCTCAGCCCCTCAAAAGTTTTCGACCCATCTTATATATATGAAACTTATCTGTAAACCCAATATAGAGTTGATTGTTGTTTATTCTGATTCTTTCCTCAAAATATAAGCTGAGCTAACAAATATAAAATGGCAAAAGATGTTCGATCTTCATTCAATTAAAATAACAACAATAGATGAAATAAATGTGGAAACCTCGGATTTATATCCGAGAGTTATGTGTACTTCAAAAAGTGAATGAGACAAATCAGTCATTCTAGAATATCTGGATATAAAAATTAGCCGGGCAAACCTTTTCTATTGACATTTGAATTCAATTGGCTACTGCTCAACCAATAGGATTTGGGGGTGAATACAGCTCACATTTGAACTATTTGGTTCCTGACATACAGAAAAAAATAAAACGAATTACGCAACATGATTGGTCTATTTCGATTTAAATCGTCTTTTTGAGACGATTTATTCGTTAATTCAGTTTTAATTCACTTTGAATTAGTCGATGTTCGGGGCCTTCGCCTTGATTTACTCTAAGAAAGTCGTTTTCCCTATAACTTGATTTCTATTGGTCAGTGCTCAATCAATGGAGCTTCGAGGCAAGTGGAGTACAAATTCGAGTTCTCCATCCCGAAAAATCCTGGAGTATCGCCTTTGCGATCAGAAGATAGAGCTCTAATTGTGGATCAATTAGAACATGGACAAGAACAGAACCGATTTCCGTTTATTTATCTTTGCAATAGGTAAGTTAGCTTCCTTTTTTCTAGATGCTTTATATACCATTTTGTAGCTCGTGAAATTCTCTGTCGAATGGTATATAATAATTGGGGTTTTATGTGACCATGATCGGGAAAGCCTTTTACAAAAGCAGGGCCTGGTTGATCCTCACATAGGAAAGCATAGAGGAAAATAATTATTTTTACAATAACTCACCAATGGCTCGGACACTCATTTTCATCTTCGAACTCAGCCGAGATATTGTTGGGACAAAACTGTGTAGAAAATTTCATCATGATTGAACTCTGCTTTCAAAAGCTATCGCGTAAACGGCCGGTCGCTCGGCCGGACACACTGACCGATTCTAGAGTGTACTTACTTTTTGAGTACACAAAAATTTTGCTCTTGAATGGGAATAAATATGCGGTTGAACCTTCTTCTTTTTATTCTTCTTTTTTGCTCTTTTCTTGCCTATTTAAACGTATGTGCTGGAATGGACGAAGAGAACTAGCTTGTAAAAATTAATTTTCTTCGTCCATTCCAGTATAAAAGTTCAAATAGGCAAGAAAAGAGCAAAGAAGAAGAATAAAAAGAAGAAGATTCAACCACATATTTATTCTCATTCAAGAACAAAATTTTTTAACTCTAAAAACAACGTATTACGTTCGAAACGTTGGTTATAATATATATTGTTATATATTTATATTTACATTTATATATTTTACTCTCTATTACTATGTTAAATTTTTATATAATTGTAAATAATAATTTATATAAAATATTTAATAAATTAAGAAAAAGCTAAATTTTTTTAAAAATGATCAATACAACCTACCTAAGACGTATGAACTTTCATTCTGATTTCACAACAACAGACATCGCTTTACTCTGATACAAACCAATCACTGCAGCCTCCTGCAAAGCTGAAATAAACTACTCATAACCTAATAAACCTCATTAAAACTTGTATTCGCATTTACTGTGTTTTCTTTTATTCAAAGACATATGAGTTGCACAAAATTAAATATATATGTTAAAAGGTAAAATTGCAAACACTAATCTATTTTGGTATAAAAAGAATATGTCTTTCTAAAATTTTGCCAGGAGGGGCTCAAAAGTCCGTAGGGGGGGCTCAGCTCCCCCTGGCCCCCTGCTGGCTACGCCACTGGATTATACATGAGTCAATCTTCAAAAGACCATTGATATCTTAAATCTTAAGTGCATATATACTATAATTATTGTTTTACATAACTTACACTCATCCATGAAAAAGTCTCGAACGTTTAGAAAATCTTTACATAGCTTATACAGATAAGATACGAAGAGTGATAATAAACAGCTCAGAGCTTCCTTATATGGTTATGCATGATTCAATCTTAGATGACCATTCATATCTTAGATGACCATTCATAATTAAGATGTTGAATGCATATATTTTTTAATTATCGTCTTGTGCGACTTAAAATCGTTCGCCGCGATGTCTCGAACATGCAGAAAAATTTCCGGATGACAGCCAGGTTTTCTTTTTTCAGAAAATCGAGTAAAAGCAGTATTAAGTGATATTAAACTCATATGAACATCGATTATTAGTCGTGCAGCATCTTAAGCATAGATTTAATAATTTTAATTTTTCTATCAATGTGTAGCGGCAACATTTTTGTATCTGAAAAGTCAAATTTTTTTGTGAGACTTCTCATAAGATTGAAATTTTAATCCAAAGATTCGAAGGATGAGTTGAAAAAAATGTAATTTTTTTATGTTTCATTATTTCGATTGATAGTCAGTCAAATCAGGTTATGTTTACTTCATTTTACATGAGAAGATAGAATGAAGTAAGGTGAACATTTTTTATCTGAGAAACAACACTTGAAAACCTACTCAAAAAAAACTAGAGGTTTTCAAAATTCCCCCCGCTAAAATTGCTGGAATGATCCGAATTACCCCAACACATTTTGCTTGAGTGATCCGATTTACACCAGGTGAAACATTAAAAAAAAAATTTCTTCAATAGGTCTCAGTGTTGTGAGAGTTCTATTGTAATAACTCAATAAATGGATGAGATCTTTCCAGGTCTCATAGAAAAGACTTTGGGCTATTGAATGATGTATTTTTTATTTAATTGCAATTTATCATTAGTGAACAGAAAGATGGGAAAGATTAGTTCTTTCATTTTCTATTGATTTCTGCTGGACTAATCCGAATTATCCCAGCACGTTTTGCTTGTTGAACCGAATTACCTAACTAGTGTAATTCGGATCATTTTCTCAGGATTCTCACCATTTTTGTAGAAATTCTATAAAGGAATTAATATATTTTTAGATCTTTATGTAGACTTGTAGAAAACACTTTGGGCTATGTGCTGGTAAAAAGATCTTTGTTGTCCGATGTAAAATAGTTGAGTAATGGCTAAAATAAATCGACTTTTTTGAACAGTGATCCGAATTACCCCAGATGACTATATATGTTTCACCTATTTGTATATGTCACTAATACAACGAAAACACAATTGGTTCCTTAGAAAAGATTTATACGAAGTATTTTAAATAATTCATCAAAATAGAGAAACGAAAGAATTTAAACGACGAATAATGTTTATCGATCAATAGATTAGCTAGAACGAAAAGAAAAACATGCCGTAAAATTATTTAACATATGAAGATAACGTAGATTTGTTTAAAACCAGCGTCGTCTCATATCAACACTATTTATTTTCATAAACTATTCCCACACTGAACGCATCAGTTAAAACAACAGATTCTCATATATTTGCAAACCCAATAATGGTATACACCCTATTCCCTAGATGAACATCTTCAGTTAACTGTTCGACCTATTAGTAGTGAAACAATCAGACTCTTTCTACAAAAAGCAAAAACACTTTCCATTTGTTAATCGTTCAACAGTCAAACCATTATCGATCAGAACCGGATCATTTATTCAGATCATCATTTTTCAAATCCAAACAAATAAAGTATCAGTCACAATGTCTACCACTATCAACAGTGTCTCCGAATAAAAAGTCTATTTCATTCTGCATGGGGTGAAACACTCTCAATACACGTTTATCCATATGAAATAATTGTGGACTATTGGAACGCACACTATAACTTTTCACTGAAGTCACATACGAAGAACAGCCCAAAAAAAAAAGTCGTTCATATTCCTTCGTCCTTTAAGTAATAAAACTGGCGCCATTTCTTCATTATCGAGCACATTACATCGAAAATCAAAAGATTTATTCTCAATCACAAACGATGAACATGAAAAAACACCTAGTCACACATCGAACTAGTCATTCCAGTTCTTTACCAACTATCTTCAATATCGATCTTCATGATTTCATTCGTTGTTTATTCCGCTTAATCAGTTCCATCATACGATCTCTAAGCTTGCTTCCGATTTGGTTGTTCAAGAGATCTAATGTGGTGAGTGTCTGTATGAAAAAGTTCAGACGGATACATGGAAGACATGAAGAGAGAATGAGAGTCACCATGTTATTTCGTAAAACATCAAAGAGACATTCTGCTCCGAGAGCTCCGATTTTATTGTTTCGGAGATCTAGTGTGGTGAGTGTCTGTGTAAAAAGGTGTAGATGGTTATATGAGAGAGATCAAGAGACAATGGGGATTACCGTGTTGTTCCGTAAAGCATCAGCAAGATATTGCGATCCGAGATCACCGATTTGATTGTATCCCAGATGTAATGTGATTAGTGTCTGTGTGAAAAAATGCAGATGAATACATGAAGGAAATGCAGAGAGAATGAGGATCACTGTGTTATTTCGCAATGCATCAGCGAGATACTGTGCTCCGACATCTTCGATTTGATTGGAGGAGATATGTAGTGTAGTGAGTGTCTGTGTGAAACAGTGCAGATGGATATATATAAGAGATATGGACAGAGAATGAGCATCACCATGTTATTTTGTAAAGCATTAGCAAGATATTCCGCTCCTTTGTCACCGATTTGATTGTTTCGAAATTCTAATGTGGTGAGTGTCTGTGTGAAGAAGTACAGATGTTAATATCAGAGATATGGAGAGAGACTG